AAAAAAAAAAAAAAAAAAAAAAAAAAAAAAAAAAGCCCTCAATGGGATTCTAGGATGCAGCCAGGATTGAGAACCACTGAGAATCCCTTCTACAAAGTACCCATTGAAAATTTTGAAAATCTCCAGTGGTAAGACCTTTATTGCCTCCCAAGATAGATCATTTCGTTCTAAAAAAAACCATTTCGTAAAAGGAAGCAACATCTGTCTCTGCAATTTCTATCACTGGCTCTTGTTCTGAAGACACATATAACAAGGTGAAACCCCTTTCTCTGTGGCCTTGTAAAGCATTCCCATCTCCAGGATAAGTAAAGTGCCTATTTCCTTCAATTTGCTTCTGTGACATAGTTTGAGCTCCTCTTCTCCCCATATGGTCTGTGGCCTTTTCTAAGTGTGCTGCTGAGGATGAAACACTGCATTCCAGGTGAGACCCTACCAGCTTCAGACAGAACCAGCTTAGCAGTAACAATCTTCATTTTAGACACTACGTATCTAGGAATTTGACCAAAGATGGGGTAGTTTTGTCGCAGCCACATGACACTACTGATACAATTGCAACTGCATTTCTGTTAATGCAGCTAAGGCCCTTCTCATATTTGTATGGATGACTTTAATATCCATATGTAGAATTTTACATATATTTCTAATAAATTCTCTCTTTCATTTAACAATATTTATTGTGCTAAGCACTTGGTACACAGAGGCAAACAAAACAGACTTGGTTCTTAGCCCTAATGGGGTTTAAAATCTAGCATAGGAATAGGAAAAAAACCCAAATACCTACTTACAGATGAGTTTTTCAAGTCATTTCAGGTACCTGAGCTGTCAAAGTCATATCAGTTCTTATGCCTCAATTCCCTTTTACCGGTGGATATGGTACATTGCTACCTGAGCCTCCAAGAGCTCCCTACTAACCATACAACACGGGTCCCTCTACAGAGGCCCTTTTCCTCTTCCTGGTAATGCAAATTGAACGATCAGTTTCATTTCTGGTAGCTTGCCATTCTTTCTTGATTGCCCTTTCCTTTTAGAATCTCAGGTCACAAGAAACATGCCTTCACACTTCTATAAACTTTGTGAAATCTGTCTTCCTGCAGTTGAGACACATGACAAACTAGACTCAGTCCTCCTCCCTCCTTATCTCCCTCTACTATCCTGAACTCTGGAGATAGGCTGTTACCAGGGATTACATAACTTCCTCTTCACCAGCCGGTTCCTCTTCCTTGGAATTAACCACATGCCCCTACCCGCACTTTACAAAATTTTAAACCTGAATGTTACCCTTTACCAAAATGGTTTGTTCTTGACTTGGTTCTGTTTGGTTACTTTGTTCCCCTGTGCAGTGTTACAACAGTCTGTGTAACCAGGCAGGTGCTGTGCTCTCTTGGCCTGTTATGTTAACTGCATGCCCCAAAGGCAAATGATTTTAATACCCACACCTTGGTCTTAGGTAGAAAAGGAAGAAATCTAGGACTCTCTCCCCTATTTCCACCATGGAATTAGAGACCATCACAGTTTGTCACACACCATGTGGCAAAATGTGTCAAAATGAATGCCTCACAGGGAAAGTGTTAAGTCAAGAAGCCGTTCTGAAGTTGGGCAAGGCCAGCAATGGGCCCTGTTCACTCATGGCTATAAGTACCTTTAGGAAAATTGATGGTCATCTTTGAAAAACAGGAGCTGTCATTTCTCTTCACCTCTATCTCTATTCCCATAACCTTTCTGAGAAAAGATGATCTCATAGTTCAGTTATTTATTTTAATCTCATAAATGAAACAAACCTTGAACATATGCCACTGCCACAGGAAAGGTTAGAGCAGGACACTCCATGAGATCCTACTATATTTGCTGCTTGTTTTGAGATACAATCATGCTACTACACACATGGTGTAGACATCCAAATGGTCCAAAGTAGAATAAAAGTTAAGCTCACAATATCTGAAAGTAAATCGTTTATTATTTACACTTTAAATTAAAGTAACTGTTATTAAAATAGCCAATGACTCAATGTTTGGAATTCTGTTGTAGGGGAAACCTGAAGAACTACACACAAGAAACATGTCATTTAGCACCTTCACTTTTTGATCCCCACAGAAGGCAATGAGAAGTCACACTATAACAATGACAACGACTTCGCTAAGCAGCTGGTCTTGCTCCTCCCATGCAACACGTTTTATAACTAATCACAGCAACCAATTGCCACAAAACTTCTCAGAAGCATCAAATGTTACCTGTTCCATGGATGAAAAATTACTATCTACTCTGTTAACAACATTCTATTCTGTGATTTTCATCGTGGGACTGGTTGGGAACATAATTGCTCTCTATGTATTTCTGGGTGTCCACCGCAAAAGAAATTCCATTCAAATTTACCTACTTAACGTAGCCATTGCAGACCTCCTACTCATCTTCTGTCTTCCTTTCCGAATAATGTATCATATTAACCAAGACAAGTGGACATTAGGTGTGATTCTGTGCAAGGTTGTGGGAACACTATTTTATATGAACATGTACATTAGCATTATTTTGCTTGGATTCATCAGTTTGGATCGCTACATAAAAATTAATCGGTCTATACAACAACGGAAGGTAATATCAACCAGACAAAGTATTTATGTTTGCTGTACAGTATGGATAGTTGCTCTTGCAGGATTTTTAACTATGATTATTTTAATGCTTAAGAAAGGAGGGCATAATTCCACAATGTGTTTCCACTATAGAGATAAGCATAATGCAAAAGGAGAAGCAATTTTTAACTTGATTCTTGTGGTAATGTTCTGGCTAATTTTCCTACTAATAATCCTTTCATATATTAAGATTGGCAAGAATTTATTGAGGATTTCTAAAAGGAGGTCAAAATTTCCTAATTCTGGTAAATATGCCACTACAGCCCGGAATTCCTTTATTGTACTTATCATTTTTACTATATGTTTTGTTCCTTACCATGCCTTTCGATTCATCTACATTTCTTCACAGCTAAATGTATCACCTTGCTACTGGAAGGAAATCGTTCACAAAACCAATGAGATCATGCTGGTTCTCTCATCTTTAAATAGTTGCTTAGATCCAGTCATGTATTTCTTGATGTCCAGTAACATTCGCAAAATAATGTGCCAACTTCTTTCTAGACGATTTCAAGGTGAAGCAAGCAGGAGTGAAAGCACTTCAGAATTTAAACCAGGTTACTCCCTGCATGATATATCTGCAGCAGCTAAAATGCAGTCTAGTTCTAAAAGTACTTGAGGTAAACATACTAAGAAGAATGATACAAGACAGCCTCTTAATTCCTTAAAGAACTAATGAATTTGTAACAAAGCTCTAGCATTGATAAAACTCAAATCTTCTCAAAGCTCTGTTAGTATTTGTGATATTTCATTTGCTTAATTGTAAAATATTTCAAGGCAAAGAAAAGCTTATACTCATCACTAAATTTTAAATCTGTATGTAAAATCTTTTCAAAATAGATTTTTAAGATAACACTCAACATCGATTATAAAGTTAAGTAAAATTCATGGTTTAACAACAAAATAATTAAAAGAAGTGCAGAGGTTCTCAAGTCACTAAAGTAGTTATTAAAATCAAGCACTTGATACTAATTTAAGTGTGTTTATAAAAGTGAGTTAAATGACTTGGGGACTGACTTAAAATGTCAGAAAATTTATGTTCATTTGTCATTTAAAAAGCATAATTTGCTACTGTATTCATTTATGCCTAAACCTCTATAACAGATAAAATAATTAATAAAATTCTAATAAAAATGAGACCACCCACTCTCTATCACTGCTTAGATAAAAATGGAAAGAATTTAAATACTGTACAGTAAAAACTGAACAACAGATAAGCTAAGAATAAGCACAGCAACAGGACTTAAAACCACACCTTACTTAAAACAAATTTATAAATGATTCAGTCATCTCAGCTACACTTGAGTAAAACTGAAGATGTGTATATGCCATAATCCAGCAGGTCTACTACAAGGTATACATCTTACAAAATCACTCAAATATGTATACAAGAAAACATACGTAATGATGCTCAGTGAACTACCATTCATAATGCTAAACAACTGGAAACAACTTAGAATTAAGTGTGCAACAGCAAAGGCATGGAGCAGTAAACTGTGGTTTATTCACAAAAAGCAGTACCATACAGCACCTCAATGAAATGAAATATATCCACATGCATCAACATGGGTAAATCTCAAAAATAATGTTGAGTAAAACACACACACACACATATACAACTGCAAAAGAGTATGTACCACATGAAATCATTAATGTGAAATACAAAAACACATAAAACAATATCATATTTTTATGGATTTATAAAGCATATACAATAAAAATACAAAACATGCATGGTAATACATGCAACACACATACCAACTTAAAGTTAATAGTTACATCTGGAGAGATTTGAAGCAAAAATGGCAAAATGTTAATGTCTATTAAATCTGAGTGACAGGTACATGGGTGTTTGTTATATTTCATAACAATTTTAAAAAAACTGTAGATTAGAATTAAGAAAAACAAACTCTAAAATTTTCATGTGTGTTCAAAAATAATAGGAAATAAGCTCTAAGAGAAAGGAATCTTTGTTTTATTCATCTCCAACTCCCTGAGGCTTGGTGCATTGCTTGGTACATAGAAGATCAATATATATTTGTTGAATAATTGAATGAATGAATGAAAGGATGGATGGATGAATGAAACAGGAAGAAAGGAAAGGAAGAGAATGCTCAAAAGAAAAAATTGGGAGGACTTAGCTTTTTTTCTAATCAACTTATCTGGATATACAACATTCATACAGTTGCAATCTGGGCGGTATCATTAAGCAAACATTCTCAAAAGTTTGGCCTGCATTTGTTTACTCTGGTCATACACACAACCAGAATGCTGTTGACTAAAGAGTTAGGTAAAATCCTGTTATGACAAACTCCAAGGATCCATTCATAAGTTTCTATCACAGAGCACGAGAATTTTTTATAGTAAAAATACTTCTTAAAACTTAAGGTAGGCTACTGGTTGGGAAATCATTGTTAAAGAATGTGAAGATTTTTGTTAGAGCTGAATTTATTTTAATGAGATTTGGCTTGTATTAATCATATTTTGTATTAATCATATTTTACTAAGTGCACACAATTGGTTGAATACAGAACAGGTAAAAGCAAAAGTATATTTAAAAAACAAGTAACATTTGAGGATAAAAATTGAAATTTGTAGAAAAATTAGAGACTTAGAAAAAACTATTAAAATTATATTAATTACTTTGCCCTGACAATGTTAACAAATACCATCCAAATAAAATTCAGCATTTCTGTTTGTATGACTTTAAATTATGAAAACTCTGATTTTCCCTCCTGTCCTCAAAATTAAAAATCTATTTTATGTTACTGGTTAACATTTTATAACCCTACATGTCTCTATTGCAAATGTACAGTTTGAATGGTTAAATAATATTATCAATTACTATTATTATTAGTTTTAAGGACCATTAAAATATAAATACACTCATAATTCTAGAAGCTGTCTTATTTATATTAAATTAGATGATCCCTGAATAATGGCATTCTTAAAAATATAAAAAAGGTATACTGAATTCCTGCTATAGTATTATTTGCAAAAAAATGAATTTTGATAAAAGTTAATCTATCTATAATCCCATAATGAATTGTTTACTGATAGAAGTTTCACTGATAATATGCCTTAGAGTAACCTGAATCCTGAGAATGTTTCTAAATTTTTAGAAAAATATGCTATTGACTTACCAAATTTAAGGCTATTTATTAATATAATCTTTTATTTCCTACTGAGCATTAGTATGTGCAAGCGGGAAACACTGTTCCTACCTCCCCCGACCTAAGGTTTAGTTATAGAAGCATATAGAAAAAGGAAATTCTGAAGTATATACATATGCTCACCTTACAAAAGACCTTCAGAATGAGTTTCTAAATAACATCACCATATGCAAAACCAAATAAGGGCAAAATAATAAGGGCCTGGTTGCCAGAGTGAGACCTCAGTGCCGAGTATTGCTGTTAGTTTTAGAAACCTGTGCAGACCCAGGTTTGATGGTGGTTGAATTTCAATGATAAGGTTAGCAGAAAAAGACAATTATCTTCTACTACAGAAGGATTTATTTATTTATCTATTTATTTATTTATTTATGGCAGCTGGCTGGTACAGGGATTGAACCCTGGACCTTGGTGTTATCAGCACCACGTGCTAACCAACTGGCCAATGAGCCAGCCCCCTATAGAAGGTTTAATTTCAACTTTTAAAAATGGATCTGTAGTCCTGCTGATATAAAAGTAGAATATAATTACAACTATGTGAATCAAAGCTTTACTGAAAGTTATCTACAAGAGAAAAACAACATGAAATAGAATAGATCTCTCAACAGGAAACCCGGATGCCTCAGAAACATGTTAATGGGCTAGTTATTGTTTAGGCTTTTGAAATATAATGGAAACTTAATTTATCAGATATTAAAATATATTCTTATCTTTCAGTAAGGAAAACATTGTGGAGCAGATACAAAGATAAACTTATCAGTGGAACACAATACACATCCCTAAGCAGACCTTAGATGATATATAAGAAGAGTGTATGACATATTAATGGCTCTCAAAAGAGTGAGGGCAGGAACAAATCAGAGGGAGACCTAAGATTCTATCAGTCAAGATGTGCTAGAATCTTGCAAAGATGGCATTAAGTGTATTACTGAAAAGCTTCCCAGGTGACTTCAATACATTCTTCTCCGTCAGAGAGAATCACTGCAAATAAAGGAAACATCACAAAAAGCATCAGGGAAGGCAGGGATGGATTGATAAATAGTGCTGTGCCTACTTAAAATAAAAAGTCAATTTATAGCCTCACCTTGTATCACACCAAAAAAGTTATAAGTGGATTAAAGAGTTAAATGTAAATAATGAGACCATTAAACGATTAAAAAATACATAAGTGACTAACTCATCTGTGGATGGGAAAGAACTTTCCATTAGTAAAACAACAGAAATGACAATTGGGAAAAATTCATAGATTGGATTTAAAAATTTAGATTCTTCTTTGTCAAACACCATAAACAAAAATAAAAGCAAAAGTACAAAGCAGGAAAATTTTTCACAACAAATATGATATTTACTGAAGAGCTTTTATGTCAGCCACCAACAAACACCATAGACTTGTAAAGAAGCATGTATTTTTGGGGCCGGCCCTGTGGCGCACTGGATAAGTGCGCCCGCTTGGGAAGCGCGGCGGCGCTCCCGCTCGAGGGTTTGGATCCCACATACAGACC